TTGATTATGATTGGTAACTATCTGCAAACGCTTGTTCATGACAACACTGAAACGCTTGCCACCCGGTAGTGACACATCGCGATCCTCAAGGCCCCCACAAGTGTCTTCTGTCAGTCTAGAGAGATTTGTTGTCGTCTTTTGACACAGAGAACATTTGAAGGAAATCTTATTTGTGCCAACCTGTTGGATGACATGCTTATGGTTAAGCTCTGCATTTCTGTTGTTTAATAGGATTTTTTGGAGACGATGCCTAGCTCTCCAGTCTCCTGCGCTTTCTATTTGTTGGGTCTCTTCGGGTGACCAAATAATATGTTTGACTTGTTCTTTATGGGACTTGACTATGCGCCTAGCTGCTGGTTGCTGATATGCTGCTGGAGCAGGCTGTTCACGAGTCAACCGCATTCTTTGTTGGGATCTGTAAAGAAGCGGCGGTGCTGGTGTCAAAGTCAAAAGCGCACTTCTCATTTTTATTGGACCTCTGGGCTGGGTCTGGATTAATTGGAGAAGATTTGCATGAACATTTTCTGGACATAGCAGCTTGGGACGCTGCGAAAGTCCAGCTGTGCGATTGAGTCCTAATGCTGTTAGTGATGTGGTATGCTCGAGGAATGATGCAGGACAAAGTTTCGCACCGCAAATGACACCCATTCTTTTGCTTGATCGTTCGAAGAATTGAGCGACACTGCTTGGTGTGTGTTTGCCACTATTGTTATCGGACATCGAGAGCTGGCAATGTGTAGAACCATGAAAGTCTATAGCAAGTTCTAGCCACGAAATGGAATGCTCATTAGGCTCAGCCGGCCACTCCAACTGGTTCCAATACCAATGGAGGGGGAAGAATGTATTAAGGCCGAAGAGCCATTCTCCGCCTTTACTGTATCGACGCCATTGTGCTGGCGCAGAAGCTGTGAAAATTCTTTCCCCCTGAATATTATATTTCCAAGGAAAAGTCGGGTACAAAGACTCTGGAGTATCCACTGGCAATTGCGCTTCCTGCACAATACCTTGCAATTCATCTGGTTCATCTTCGTCTCCGCTGACGTTGGGTTCATTGACCTCAGTGTGCCAGGGCCGTGCTGCGGCAATTGCGATTTGGCAAAGTCACGAGTTCTGACAATAGCAATCATTGTGGTTTGCAATTGGATCATGAAGGTTGTGGCTTCTTCAGGATTACCATTAAAAAAGGTCTGTAAACCATGTTGGTTTAGCAAGGCACAGTGTCGGGTGCATGGTGGGAGTTGGGATATTATGGTTTCCCATTTATTAAGGAAAGAAGAGCGCTTGTCAGCCCAAGCCGGGCATGTCCAGAAAAGGTGATCGAGGTCCTCTGTCACGTTTAGATTGCACCAATTACACAAAGGCGATTCGATTGTCTTGGCTTTCACAAGCCTTTCTGCTGTCCTGGTTGTGCCTGTCATGATGTTTCTCAATGTGGACTGGTCAAACAAACTGAGGACAGGATGACAGCAATTCAGCCACTCATTCCCATACGGGCCATGCAATGCCCCGATCCGATTCTTGCGCCCTTGGCTTGCCATGCCATGCGCTTCGGCTTGGCATGGACATAGCACCATGCCCCGCTCTGTTCGCCACGCATCGCGCGGAAACTCGCTCTTGCAGACTCCTGGTTTGTCCCCTTTTTGGCAGCCATGCAACGGCATTCTTTCTCCAGTTTCCGCATTGATCGGATGATAATGATGCTGTTTCAAAACTTGTAGACGCGCCACGTCGTCCTTCAAATACTCCATGGCCCAAGACCTTGCTTCGGCCGCGTCGCCAGAATCAGCACGCGCAGCCCGTCGCCGCTGGTACATGGGACACTCAATCATGCTCTGCTCGTTCTTGTGCTCAGGCCACGAAGCCTCTGCTGCAACAATTTTGGCCGTAACCTCTTCCTGGCTGTGGCCTTCATAAACGCCGTGCATGACATGCCCACTGTATGTTAAGTAGCTTGTTCGGAGCTCTTCCAACTTCTTAGCCCCCCATTGAAAAATCTCTTCTAAGGCTGTGTGCTGATGCAAGCATTGCACAAAGCACTGGCAGTGCGCGTGCAATGAACCTGTCGATTTCTGTGCTTCGATGGTAACATACGCAGCATCCATGCGACCGAAGACTCCCCCCACCAAAGTTGCGCTGCTTCCTCTCTCATCTTGACAGGGTGTATGCGGGGAACTTTCTAAGTTGCAGTCTGGGCATTGGGCACAAACGCGCAAGCCGAACAGATGCTCCATGACGAGAAGCACAAGCACCCGGAAGCCATCAACGCTGGCTAGCGGGTCCCGAGCCATGGCTTGGCGCCGCTGCTCCCATGTTGGCAAAGCCCTGCAGAAGGTCTCCACATGAATTGGCAAAGTATAATTACCATCCAAGGGAGGGTACTCTCGGTCGCTGACGTCCCAATTCTGGTACGCAGACGCAGCCCGCACTGGGTCGCCGAACCGTGCCCGTGACAATCTTACGTACAACATTTGGTGTGCTTCATCTGGCGAAAACGTCACAAAGATAGGCGTGCCAAACTTGATGCGCAACGCTTCGATTTCAAAGCGCATCCGTTTTCGAGCTTCTTGTGTGCCGGGCATGGTCTGCGCAGTGTGCCGCATGTTCTGCACTAGCTTGCGTGCGGCCGGGGTTAGGCCGCGAACATACGGCAATTTGCTGACGTCTCCCTTGACCGGCTTTGGCTTACCGCCCTGGCTAATGTAGTTCCCTTACCAGGCTTTCAGAAGCTGGATTGCCCCGGCTTCAATGTCCTTTGGCTTCAATTTTTTCCATGCGCGCGCGTCCTCGTCCAGAACTGGCACGCTGAATAATGTAAGATTGCGGCTCAAATTCAAAGCCGAACGAAAATACAAATTCCACGAGGCAAAGCCGAACACCCAATCCCTACAGACTTGTGCTTCGCATCGCCGAGCCATGATTTGAACCCACTCTTGGAGCTCCACCCGTGGTGCGGACTCATCACGGCGATAGCGCTCCACGGCACTCCACGCCGGAGGGTCTGGCATGCCTGTGCAAAACTTGAAGACGTAGGGAAATGCAAGACCAAAATACTGCGGCCGAAACTGGTCCAGAAGCCGGTTGCCCGTTCGCAGCGTAAACTCTGCCGCTTCCTCTACACTCTCCGGCCCTTGGCTTCGGGCAGCTGTGGCTTGTAATGCCGAAACATGTTGCGCGTTCACATCTGCCATGCCTACGCTGGTGCGTTCCCCAACCACAGCATTTGGTTTTGCCATGCTCTTCATTTCTTCGGCTAGCTCGTCCGCACACATCTCTTGGCGAACATGTGTTGCAGCCTTCTGCCCTTTGTCTCCATTGCCCTCTGTTGTTAGGGCGTCCATGCCTGCCGTTTGCCAGCCTTCAAACCCTTAAACTTTCTTGTTAGCCTGCCGTTTGCCAGCCTTCAAACCTTTAAAACCTTTAAAACCCCTAAAACCATCCAATCCTTCGTGGCAGCTTCCACCAAGCCCTCTCTGGCCGTAAGCCTTTGCTGTTCCAGCGTTGCAGCCTGCCGTTTGCCTGCGTTTTCTTGCATCGCCCTCTGTTGCTAGGGCGTCCCTGCCTAGGGCGCCTCACGGCAGCCTCCACCGAGCCCTGCGGCCGTAAGCCCTTGCTGTTCCAGCGTTGCAGCCTGCCGTTTGCCTGCGGATAGCCCTCTGTTGTTAGGGCGTTCAAGCCTGCCGTTTGCCAACCCTTAAAACCCCTAAAACCCTTAAAATGCTCCATTGCCAGCCTTCAAACCCTTAAAACCCTTCAAACCCTTAAAACCCGTAAAATGCTCCGAATCCCTCGCGGCAGCTTCCACCAAGCCCTCCTGTAAGCCTTTGCTGTTCCAGCGTTGCAGCCTGCCGTTTGCCTGCATAGCCTGCAGCGTGCTGTTTGCCTGCACATGCCTCTCTGTTGTTAGGGCGTTCAAGCCTGCCGTTTGCCAGCCTTCAAACCCTTAAAACCCTTAAAACTCTTAAAACCCTTAAAATGCTCCGAATCCCTCGCGGCAGCTTCCACCAAGCCATGCTGTAAGCCTTCTTCAAACCCTTAAAACCATTCAAACCCCTAAAATGCTCCGAATCCCTCGCGGCAGCTTTGACCAAGCCCTCCTGTGAGCCTTTGCTGTTCCAGCGTTGCAGCCTGCGGTTTGCCTGCACATGCCCCTCTGTTGTTAGGGCGTTCAAGCCTGCCGTTTGCCAGCCTTCAAACGCTTAAAACCCCTAAAACCTTTAAAACAGCGTTGCAGCCTGCCGTTTGGCTGCATAGCCTGCAGCCTGCTGTTTGCCTGCACATGCCTCTCTGTTGCTAGGGCGTTCAAGCCTGCCGTTTGCCAGCCTTCAAACGCTCAAAACCCTTAAAACCATTCCAACCCCTAAAATGCTCCGAATCCCTCGCGGCAGCTTCCACCAAGCCCTCCTGTAAGCCTTTGCTGTTCCAGCGTTGCAGCCTGCCGTTTGCCTGCGTTTTCTTGCATCGCCCTCTGTTGTTAGGGCGTCCATACCTACGCCGCCTCGCGGCAGCCTCCACCAAGCCCTCTGGCCGTAAGCCCTTGCTGTTCCAGCGTTGCAGCCTGCCGTTTGCCTGCGCATAGCCCTCTGTTGTTAGCGCGTTCAAGCCTGCCGTTTGCCAGCCTTCAAACCCTTAAACCCTTTAAAACTCTTCAAACCCCTAAGACCCTCCAAATCCCTCGCGGCAGCTTCCACCAAGCCCTCTGGCCGTAAGCCTTTGCTGTTCCAGCGTTGCAGCCTGCGGTTTGCCTGCGTTTGCCTGCACAGCCCTCTGTTGTTATGGCGTTCAAGCCTGCCGTTTGCCAGCCTTCAAACCGTTATTCAAACCCTTAAAACCCCTAAAACCCTCCAAATCCCTCGCGGCAGCTTCCACCAAGCCCTCTCTCTCTCTCTCTCCCTCCCTCTCTCTCCCTCTCTCTACAGCACCCCCCAAATAGGGGGGGTCGGCGGCACCAGGGCGCTAGCCCATTCTATAAAAATCCTATAAAAAACTGGACACCCAGGAACTGAAGCTCTTTGTCCACTACTTCATGCTCGAGCGCCAGCGCCACCCACTTTTTCAGTTCTGCGACAGTTACTAGGCCGTCCCCATCTGCATCAACCACGCGGAAGGCCAAGTCTGCTAGTTGTGGAGTGTCCAGCGGTGCACCTTGCAGCGTTGCTATGCGTTGCACATGCTGATCCCGCTGATCCCTGTCATGGTTCGTCAGTCCCGGCCCGCCCTGCCTTGAACTGTGGCTAGGAGGAGCAATGCCCCGCGAATGAACTTGTGAGTGCCAATGTCACCACTTTGATCAAAGTCCAGCACGCGGAAGAGGCCGGGCACCACAATTGAGGTGAGCCTAGCTTCGATGAAACAGAGGATTGGGGATGCTTGAGAAAAGATGAGGCATGTCTATGTACCCCTGCATTCATTATCATTCCTTAACATTCTCACTGCATACTCTTCCACAGTCTTTGGGGATGCCCCGTGTTTCCAGAGCTGGCAAGATGCTCTCGGACAGCAGCAGCACGAACCTCGCCGGTCGACTCTGCTGTTTGGCTGTGAAGTTCCAGGGCCAGGTCCACCTGACGTCACAAGCTGTCAAGATCTGTCGATGTCAATATCTGTCAGTCAATAGAGCCAATAGAGTTTTTATAAGTTTTTGATTTACAATCGAAAGCTTTTTTCGAACCTTTGTCCCCATAGGTCTGGTTGAGCACAAAAAAATAAACCCTGGTGCTATCCCGAACAGCTTGGAATTTTATGTTTTGTTTCAATGTTTTAAACATACGCAGTCATGTTGGATTGTACGTTTTTGCTATACTAACTCTAGTAGTCATCTGATTTTCGCGATGACATCATGCGCACATTGTCATACAATCATACACATACAAGCATGCAATGGTTCTGCACAATGGTAAAGGCACCAGGGCCAGGAACCTCAACAGGTATCTGCACAGGAACCCTCCAGAAGCTGACCAGGTATCTGCACCGGAACCTTCCAGAACGCAACAGGTATGTGCAGCGGAACCCTCCGGAACCCAACAAGGTATCTGCATTGGAACCCTCCGGAGCCTCACTAGGTATCTCAACCAACATGAATTGATACAAACGCAATCATGTCGGACGACACGCTGTTACTAACTGTATATGATCTTGTGTTCGTCACCATGACATCATGCCCACATTGTCATACAATCACGCACATACAATCATACAGATACAATCATACACATACAAGCATACACATGCAACCATGCAATGGTGTTGCACACAGGTATGTGACGCATTCCCATGGAAAGTAGTACAAACACATAATGTGCAAGTGTTCGCGTTGCACACTTTTGTGTTCACAATTCGGTGCTGCTGTTGACAAAATTGCTTATGAATCTGAGGCAAAATTGTTTTTGAATCTGCGGCAAGCAACCAACATGAACTCATACATACGCAATCACTGTGGATTACACAATGTTACAAACTGTATATGGTCTTCTGGTCGTCATGATAACATCATACGGACATTGTCTTACAATCATACACATACAATCATACAGATACAAGCAATGGCACTGCACGCTGGTAAATGAAGGAGGGCCCTGGAAAGCATTAAACACATACAATGTGCAAGTGCTCACGGTGTCTACTTGGGTGTTGATGTGTTCATTCCTGCAGGTAACAGAATTGTCCATGGATCTTCGGCAAGCAAACAACATGAATTGATACAAACGCAATCATGTTGGATGACACGCTGTTGCTAACTGTATGTGGTCTTATGATCGTCATCAGGACATCATGCGCACAATGTCATACAACCATACACATACAAGCATACACATACAATCATGCAATGATGTTGCACACGGGGGGTATGAAAATTCCTTTGAAAAGCTGTGCCCATCCCTGGTCTCTGTCGGACCCCTGGTCTCTGCGCCTGCCACCCGTGCCGTTTAATTACGAGAATGATGGTTGAATCCCTGGTCTCTGCGCCTGCTACCCGTGCAGTTTACCAGATTGTTGGTCATATTTTCTGCCCCGCTCCCTGGCAGGTAGCTAAGTTGATTTTCAAAATGTTGGTGTCTGCGCCTGCCGCCAGTGCAGTTCAGCAGATTGATTGTCGGATCCCTGGTCTCTGCGCCTGCCTCCTGTGCAGTTTACCGGAGTGATGGTTGGATCCTTGGTCTCCGCCCCTGCCACCTGCAGTTTACCAAATCGTTTGTCAAATCCTTTGTCTCTGCGCCTGCGACCTGGCAGTTGACCAGGTTGATTTTGAAAATGATGGTGTCTGCGCCTGCCACCTGTGGAGTTCAAGTTGTCAAGGGATTGGTTGTCAGATCCCTGGACTCTGCGTCTGCCACCTGTGCAGTTTACCAGACTGATGGTTAGATCCTTGGTCTCTGCGATGCGCCTGCCACCTGGCTTCACCAGCTATCTGCACTGGAACCCACCGGAACCTCAACAGGTATCTGCACCGGAACCCTCCGGAACTTCAACACGGTATCTGCACCGGAACCCTCCGGAACCTCATGGGCTATCTGCACCAGAACCTTCCGGAACCTCAACAGGTATTTGCACCGGAACCCTCCAGAACCTCACCAGGTATCTGCACCGGAACCCTCCGGAACCTCAACAGGTATCTGCACCGAAACCCTCCAGAACCTCACCAGAACCCTCCGTAACCTCACCAGGTATCTGCACCGGAACCCTCCAGAACCTCACCAGGTATCTGCACCGGAACCCTCCGGAGCCCTCCGGAACCTTGCCCGGAACCTGGTGTTGAAGCTGCACCGGATCGCACCAGAGCTAATCTGGGCTAAAGACCCCATAGCAAAGTTTTGCTGTTGGGGAAAAACAGAGAACAACATCAGGTGCTCGTGAACTTGCGAAAACAATCCAAGACACCATTTTGTGAACAGCACACTGAAACTCGTGAAGCGTCATGACCCCAGAGGCATCAGAGTAGCAGGCGAAGGTAAAACGACCCAAGAGCTGGAAGATGCTAAAGCAGAATGGCCGTTGGAGATCATGGAAGGAAAAAGCCGGTGCCCGCAACTCTGAAATTGCAGACCTTGATTCAACAAAAGTTTGTCAATAAAATGCAATTGCGCCAACAAGTTGCTTCAGAACAAGTGATTTGTCACAGCCATACAACTCCAGCGTATCTGCAGCATCACACAGTCACAACCTCTCAGTCGGAAGGGAAGGAGCCTGAAAACATTGCTTGGAAGAAGTCTTATGAACAGAGAAACCGTGTACCTCTGCGCAAATCCTGGTGGCCAAATGTCCTGCGCTGTTAGCAGGTCGCCACTGTCAAGGGCAGAAATCTGCACCAGGTCCTCCCAGGGGAATCAACTTGCTGAATCTCGGCAATGCATCTAAAACAGACTAAAACAAACTTGAGGCCAGGGGGGAGGTACAAAAGCTAGCAGGGCTGGGGTAGGGTGGTAATCGTACAGGGGGAACAGCAAGGTGAAGTCGGAATGCAGCAACGGTCTCACGCAGCTTTTTGGAGTTGCTGCAAGTCACAAACGGCTGCAAGTTACAAACAGTGCCAATCTTTTGCTGTTGATGAGGTTGCTGACCAGAACGATGAAGAAAATTGATGATGACGAAAGTGATGGTAACAGGAAGGAGTTGATGACGACGATGATGAGGACGAAAAGGATGATGAGGATGATAAAGATGATGAGGATAATGAGGATGATGAGGGTGATGAGGATGATGAGGATGCTGAGGATAAGAATGAGGATGAAAATGAGGATGATGATTATGATGAGCAGGTCTGTTGTAGGGTTGCAATATCTATTATTGGGTCCAGCAAGCGAAACCCCCCAATGCAGTAATCGCCTCTCGCCAGGTTTTTGTAAACAAAAGAAACGCAAGATCAAAATTTTTAAAAAAAAACGCCCCCAAATGGAAGCCCGAATCTGCATGTGCATACGAAAGATGTATGTATGTATGTATGTATGTATGTACGTATGTATGTATGTATCTATCTATCTATCTATCTATGTATCTATGTATCTATGTATCTATGTATCTATGTATCTATGTATCTATGTATGTATGCATGTATGCATGTATGCATGCATGCATGCATGTACGCATGTACGCATGTACGCATGTATGCATGTATGCATGTATGCATGTATGCATGTATGCATGTATGCATGTATGCATGTATGCATGTATGTTTATGTATGTTTATAATTTATGTATGTTTATGTATGTTTATGTATGTATGTATGTATGTATGTATGTTTATGTATGTTTATGTATGTTTATGTATGTTTATGTATGTATGTATGTCTATGTATGTTTATTATGTTTATGTATGTTTATGTATGTTTATGTATGTTTATGTATGTTTATGTATGTTTATGTATGTATATGTATGTTTATGTATGTTTTTGTACATTTATGTATGTTTATGTATGTTTGTGTTTGTTTGTGTATGTTTATGTATGTTTATGTATGTTTATGTATGTTTATGTATGTTTATGTATGTTTATGTATGTGTATGTATGTGTATGTACGCATGCATGCATGCATGTATGCATGTATGCATGTATGCATGTATGCGTGTATTGATGTATGCATGTATGCATGTATTGATGTATGCATGCATGTATGTATATGTATGTTTATGTATGTTTATGTATGTTTATGTATGTTTATGTATGTTTATGTATGTTTATGTATGTGTATGTATGCATGCATGCATGCATGTACGCATGTACGCATGTACGCATGTATGCATGTATGCATGTATGCATGTATGCATGTATGCATGTATGCATGTATGCATGTATGTTTATGTATGTTTATAATTTATGTATGTTTATGTATGTTTATGTATGTATGTATGTATGTATGTTTATGTATGTTTATGTATGTTTATGTATGTTTATGTATGTATGTATGTATGTATGTTTATGTATGTTTATGTATGTTTATGTATGTTTATGTATGTATGTATGTCTATGTATGTTTATTATGTTTATGTATGTTTATGTATGTTTATGTATGTTTATGTATGTTTATGTATGTATATGTATGTTTATGTATGTTTTTGTACATTTATGTATGTTTATGTATGTTTGTGTTTGTTTGTGTATGTTTATGTATGTTTATGTATGTTTATGTATGTTTATGTATGTTTATGTATGTTTATGTATGTGTATGTATGTGTATGTACGCATGCATGCATGCATGTATGCATGTATGCATGTATGCATGTATGCGTGTATTGATGTATGCATGTATGCATGTATTGATGTATGCATGCATGTATGTATATGTATGTTTATGTATGTTTATGTATGTTTATGTATGTTTATGTATGTTTATGTATGTGTATGTATGTGTATGTATGCATGCATGCATGCATGTACGCATGTACGCATGTACGCATGTATGCATGTATGCATGTATGCATGTATGCATGTATGCATGTATGCATGTATGCATGTATGTTTATGTATGTTTATAATTTATGTATGTTTATGTATGTTTATGTATGTATGTATGTATGTATGTTTATGTATGTTTATGTATGTTTATGTATGTTTATGTATGTATGTATGTATGTATGTTTATGTATGTTTATGTATGTTTATGTATGTTTATGTATGTATGTATGTCTATGTATGTTTATTATGTTTATGTATGTTTATGTATGTTTATGTATGTTTATGTATGTATGTATGCATGTATGCATGTATGCATGTCTGTGTGTATGTATGTATGTCTGTATGTCTGTATGTCTGTATGTCTGTATGTCTGTATGTCTGTATGACTGTATGTCTGTATGTCTGTATGGATGGATGTATGTATGTATGTATGTATGGCTGTACGTCTGTATGTGTGTATCTGTGTATCCGTGTATCCGTGTATCTGTGTATCTGTGTATCTGTGTATCTATCTATGTATGTATGTATGTATGTGTGTATGTCTGTATGTCTGTATGACTGTATGTCTGTATGTCTGTATGGATGGATGTATGTATGTATTTATGTATGTGTGTATGTGTGTACTTGTATGTACTTGTATGTACTTGTATGTACTTGTATGTACTTGTATGTACTAGTCTGTACTAGTCTGTACTAGTCTGTACTAGTCTGTACTAGTCTGTACTAGTATGTACTAGTATGTACTAGTATGTATGTAAGTACTAGTATGTACTAGTATGTACTAGTATGTACTAGTATGTACTAGTATGTACTAGTATGTACTAGTATGTACTAGCATGTATGTATGTATGCACTAGTATGTATGTATGTACTAGTATGTATGTATGTACTAGTATGTATGTATGTATGTATGTATGTATGTGTGTATGTATGTATGCATGTATGTATCTCTGTTTGTGTATGTATGTATGTATGTATGTTTGTTTGTTTGTATGTATGTACTAGTATGTATGTACTAGTATGTATGTATGTACTAATATGTATCTATGTACTAGTGTGTATGTATGTACTAGTATGTATGTATGTACTAGTATGTATGTAGTAGTATGTACTGTAATGTACTGTAATGTACTGTAATGTACTGTAATGTACTGTAATGTACTGTAATGTACTGTAATGTACTGTAATGTACTGTAATGTACTGTAATGTACTGTAATGTACTGTAATGTACTGTAATGTACTGTAATGTAATGTACTGTAATGTACTGTAATGTACCGTAATGTACTGTAATGTACTGTAATGTACTATAATGTAATGTAATGTACTGAAATGTACTGTAATGTACTGTAATGTAATGTAACGTAATGTAATGTACTGTAATGTACTGTAATGTACTGTAATGTACTGCAATGTACTGTAGTGTACTGCAATGTAATGTAATGTATATAATGTAATGTAAATTAATGGTAATGTAAATGTAATGTAATGTAAGCTAATGAAATGTAATGTGTGTATGCATGCATTTAGGTAATTATGCATTTAGGTAGTCATGTATATTTGTATGTATGTATGTATGTATGTAATGTAATGTAATGTAATGTAACGTAATGTAATGTAATGTAATGTAATGGATGTATGTATCTCTGTTTATGTATGTATGTATGTATGTATGTATGGATGGATGGATGGATGGATGGATGGATGGATGATGATGATGAGGATGATGGGGATGATGAGAATGATGATGATTCAATGATGATGATTCAATGATGATGATGATGATGATGATCATGATGATGATGATGATGATTGTTGAAATCAAGTGTACAACTTCCCTGTCAGTACTCTCAGCAGCTGTAGCCCACGCGCTGTACTTTTCACTGTAGCGCTCGAGTAACGCTAGCTCAAGGGCCCTGTATGGAGCCCAAATGTATCGTACCATGACATGTACTCAAAGTAGACTAACATGTTGTATCAGCAACTGTATAGCTCATGTACATGTGCAGGTGTATTCTTAACACCCTGCCTCAACTGCAACATGTACTTCACAAACATTGAAAGAATCATTGTATAACTGAACTGTATTAAATCATGCAAGACATCAGTCATCTGTACAAAACTTTGCCTTCGAAAATCCTGTACATCGATCGAAAAACGTAGTGCCGTGTTGATGTACAGACATCTTGTAGCCAGAATTGTGTCAGATGGATGTATCCATGCAGAGTTACTCACATGTAGTCAGAAACCGTTGTAAGAAAACTGTAGCAGTATCCAACCATGTACTTCACAAATTCAGCCTTGTAGAGCTCGTCACCGTTGTAGATCAGGATGTACCCAAGGCGGTCTCGGGTGTAGCTCCTGGCAGTGTAGCTGGAGCTGTAGATCCTGAAATCTTGGCTTGTAGCTTGTCCCTTGTATCTTGTGAACCAAGATTTTCATTCTCATCAAAGTTCTCCTTCACGTGTATGGTGAACTGAGCTGTGTACTGCAGCAATCCATGCTGTACATCAGCTGGCATGTATCTGGACAATGCCGTGCCTGCATGATGTAGTGCCATGGTCAGAGCTGCATGTACTGGGTCAGCCGCTGGTCTGCCCAAAACATGTTGTACATCCAAGGGAATGTACTGGTTCCACACATAGCCACGAGTGTAGCTGTACTGCTGTAGGATCCTCATCCAATCCACAGTGATGCGTAGTACCCTTTGTGAGCCATGTTCTGTAGCGTTAAAAATGTATCGCTGCTCATGTTGGAACATCAGCGACACAAATCCACGATTGAATCCACGGCCTATCGGGTGGTATGTAGCTGTCATCACCTTGTGTAGGTCGGGCACAAACATGAGCATGTAAATCACCGGAGTGTATGGCACCACTCCAGCCATGATGCACCACAACATGTATGTGATGGCGTCATGGAAGG